CCCTCCCCCGCATTTTTTTTTGTTTTTCTTTTTTTTTTTTTTTTCCGCTTTTTCAAACCTCAGCCGCTTTTTTCCCTCCACCCCTTTCCCCCCTCCCATCTAGAGTTTTGTGGCCGCTTTCCCAGACACTTATCTTTTTTAGTTACTATAAACTTTTTGTTGCTGTTTTGCTTAGCTATAGTTGGGAATGAACCCTGTCCTATCAGGAATGGCTGCTCCTACACCCAGCAGCTGGCATGAGGATGCCTCCCAGAATCTCCCCATTACTCATAGGTTGAGGGTGCACACCCCTCCCTTCGTTGGGGTTGAGGCCTGCGTGGATGCTCTGGCTAGTCTCTTGGGACAGCATACCATCCGTTACACAGGTCGTGTCAACACGGTCGCGATGATCTACCTGAGTGACCCCACCCTAGTTCATGGGGTGTGCGTAGCGGGCCTGGACATTGCGGGCGCTCATTATTTTGTCACCCCCCCCTAGACACGCTAGCAGTGAGGGTGGTGATTTCTAACGTGCCCCGGCATGTGACCGATCGAGACCTGGCCAGAGTACTCGAGCCCTATGGGGCGCTTGCGAGTCCCATTTGCCGGTTGACCATTGGGAGTAAAAACCCCAAACTGAGGCATGTCCTGTCTTTTTGAAGGCAGGTGTTCATGCTTTTTAGGGAGGGCTCACGGTCTCTGCCTCAGTCCATAAGCCTCTTGTTCAACGGGCGGAGGTATGTGGTCTATTTCTCTTGTGGGGAGACCATGTGCTTTCAGTGTGGGAGCTCTTTCCACCTACCAGCTCAGTGCCCATGGGGGGGATCAGACAAAACGTCGGCGACTACAGCTATGCCGACAGACGGCCCATCCACTTCCGGGATGCAGACCCCACCCAGTGAGGCTGGGAGACTTTCCTGACCTTCTGCCCCTGTTCCATCTGAGGGGACTGAAGTCTCTGGCATGGGAGGGTTGTCTGGCAGAGGGGCTGGGGCTAGGCCCCAACCCTCCTTCCCACTCATTCCACCTATGGTGCCCACCCCCACCAGTGCAGAGGTACCACCAGGTGGGGACGCGGATGCTTCCGCTTCCCCACTGCCTGCTCTGACCTCCCCAACTGAGGCTGGGGTGGTCAGCTTTTGTGGCACCCAGGCCCCGTTGGATGATGGGGCTCAGGCCTCCTGCCAGTTGCCCTCCACCACGGCTTCGGCTGAGGTGACTGGCTCTGGGGAGATAGAGGAAGAGGGAGGACCCGGGCAACTATAGGCCCGTCAGTCTTACCTCAATCCTGGGGAAAGTCTTTGAGAAGATCATCAAGGAGCACATTTGTGATGGGCCGGCATCAGAAATGATGCTCAGGGGCAATCAGCATGGATTTATTAGGGGGAGATCATGTCAGACCAACCTGA